GCACACTCAAGCACACGCGCACGCACGATCGCCGCGCAGGTTGACATGCGAGCCTAGAAGTCGGGAGAACCGAGTGGACTCGGTTTCGATCATCAATTCTTGCTCCTTGTCCCCCTCCCTCGGCCTCGACCCCAGTGACTTTTCCAGGGGCCCCCGCGACTGCCCCCCCCCATCCCCCCGTCCTCCGCCCTTTTCGCTGGCACCTCCGTCGGGGCGCGCCCGGCCCCACCGTCGGCCGCGCGAGCCGATGCACGTCGCGATCGTTGGAAATATCCCCTCTGCCAGCTCACGTTTCCTCTCGCTCGCGCGTGGCTCTCAGAGTGGACGTGCATGAGTGCGCAGTGATCACGACGACTAGCTACTTGCGGTTGACGCGGCGTTCTGTGCACATGATAAACATCAAGGGCAGAAAAAAAAAACGCCCCTACCGTGGTTTACGAGGCGTTGTGCGCTGAACCTCCGGTGGGCTGACAGGGCAAACCCTGCGTGATGTGCCGCGTCCTGGCGGCAATGGGCTTTGGGGGTTCCCTGGAGGTTTACAGACCGCGCACTTGTAACCCAGGGTAGGGCCGCTTTTTTTTTTTCCAAAAACATACGCAGTACATGCACGTTTCCTTTCTCCGCGTCACGGTATTCAACGAGCATTTGAAACCTAGTGCTTATCTTGGAGCTGGGTGGCTTCAAGCAGGTGCGCGGGCCACACCGTGCTGCCGAGTACTATTGCGCATGCGATCGAGAAAGAACGGATCCCCTGTGCACGTCGTTCGGCGGCGATTCCTTTGCCATGTATGTGCTGTTATATATATATACATATATATATATACTCCTTCTCCCTATTCGGGTTGAATGCGACCGAATGGTCGATCTCCTTTGGCGGAGATTTATGCATAACCTCCGCGTGGAGGATCGATGTATAGAACGGGATCACAGGATAATGGCGTGCACGCCATTATGCACGGCGCGCGCCGCACCTTCGGAGATAAATGGCGCGCCCGCGCGTCCTTCGCTACATCCTGTCTCCCACCCGTAACAGCTGCTGGGCGACGGTCAACTGCTAGCCATCAGTTACCACTATGGTGTTGCATTTTTTCGATGTCTTGATTTTCTCTCAACGTTGCAATTTAAAACTGAGCGTTTTCGGGAAGTCTCACAAAAATCAAGACAGCAAGATGTTAAGGGATGCTCGGAGCGATGGCGGTATAAAGCTGAGGAACACACTCGCCCTCGCGAGGCTGCTCTGGCTGCGTTCTCGGCGCCTTTCAGCCTCGACCCCGTGGGGCCCTTCCCGGATGACCCCGCCTACCCTGAGCAGGCCGCCCGCACTTTCGACGAAGTCCCAGGCGAGTTTATGGATCCTGACAAGTGGGCCCACATCGCGGCCTCCCAGGTTTCCCCGGGCATTAATATCTTGGCGTTGGAGTGGGAGGCCCTGGTCCTGGCTGTCTGGCACGCTCTTCGCAACCAACGGGCCCTGGGTCGCTGCTTGCTGTTCATCGTAGATACCCTGCCCCTGGCCCTGGGGGCCACCAAAGGCAGTGCCCGCTCTAAGTTCCTGAAGCCCCCCCTCACCAAGATCGCCTGCCTGGCCCTGGCCACTGGCTGTCGCATCGTGGTTCGTTGGGCCCCTACCGAGAGGAACGTGAGTGACGCGCCTTCCAGAGGGCGTTTTGGCTGGTCTACTGGCACCGGGCGCATCAGATCCTACCGGCCCGCCCGGGGGCAGAGCGATGCAGGAGGCATAGGCCGTGCATGGCGTGCCTGGGAGGCTGGCTGTGCGCCACCGGGGCTGCCGCCGCCGCGCCCGCCGGGCGCGCGTGCCCCGCGCGCGCCCGGAACGCAGCCGGCTGCTGGCGGCCGGGAAGGCGGGCCGAAGGCACTTTCCTGAAGGCCTTCCGCGCGTCGACTGCCGCCGCCGCGGTTCGCAGTCAGCCGCCGGAGGCGGGCCTGAGCGCGCTGGAGCGCCTGGCGATCCGGCCTGCCACGGTGGCCCTCTATCGGGGCTTCCTCGAGCAGTTCTACTACCACTGCCGCTTGCTGGGGCTCGACGGGCACCCTCGACGACCACCTGGTAGATTTCTTCAACGGGCTCGACCTGGAGGGCCCGGGGCCGGACGTCGGCAGCGGCACCCTGGCGGCGCTCGGGCACTTCCTGCCCGGCCTGGGCCGGTCGGGGCCCTCGCTGCTGCCGCGGCCCCACCGCGCGTCGCGAGGGTGGAGGCGGCGAACGCCTCCGCTCACGCGGCTGCCGCTCCCCAGGGCGGCGGTGGTTGCCATCGTGGGCGCGCTTATCCACTGGCCCTTGCTCCGAGCTAGCTGCGGTGCTCACGGCCTTGGACCACGTGTGCTACTTGAGGCCGCAGGGGATCATGCAGGTACGAGGTCGGCACCTGGTCGCTCCGGCTGCAGCTGCCGGGCCAGCTAGCCACTTCTGGCCCCTCCTGCTTCGCGACTCGGCCCTGCTGCAGGCGGGGAAGACCGGGGTGTGCGACGACGCGGTCGCGGTGGACCTGGGCGCGCGGCTGAGCCCCGCCCCGCAGTGCATCCGCTCGCACCTGGGGCCCCCGGGGCCCGACGTGCCCGTGATGGACCTGTGCTTCTCGCGCTGCCGGAAGGCCTTTGTCGACGCGGCGAACCTCCTCGGCCTCCACGCGCTCGAGCCGCACCCTTGCCAGCTGCGGCGCGGCGGAGCGTCGGAGGACTTGGCCCTCGGGAGGCGGTCGGCCGAGCAGGTCCGCCTCCGGGTGCGCTGGGCGACCATTCGTCTCCGCGAAGCGGTGCGTGAAGGGCGCGAGGCTCCTCGAGACCATGGGCTCAGCGGTGCCAGACGTGTTCGCCCACGGGAACCTGGCGCTGGCCAGCCCGACGCTGCTGCTGCGCACCGGCTCGGCGCTGCCTCCCGGGACCTTGCAGTCCATCGTGTCCGCCCTGGCCCTGAGCCGGCCCGCGGCGCGCCGGTCGAGGGCCCAAGGCTCTCGAGGCGCAGGCAAGTAGGCGAGCACCTCAAGGGTCTGCTCACTGCCGAGCTACGCCGCGCCTCCCGTCTGCGACGTTTTGCTTTCTTGGAGCTGTTTGCTGGAGACGGGCATGTGAGCGCGGCCCTGAGGGCTGCCGGCCACGCCGCCGTGTCTCTCGATGTTCGCAGCGGGTACCTGGAAAACCATCTTCACCCGGGCTTCTGGAGCGTTATCCGCGGGTGGTTGCGGGGCGGGGTCGTTGTCGGCGTCTGGCTAGGTACTCCGTGTACTACGTGGTCCAGGGCCCTCCGGAAACCGCTCAGATCCATTGCGGCCCCCAGGGGGCTCGACGGCCTCAACTCCTCGGAGCTCAACAGGCTAGAGGTTGGCAACAACACGTTCAACATCAGCGTCAAGGTCATTAAAACGTGCGTGCGCCTCGGGATCCCCGCTTACCTCGAGAACCCCTCCTCCTCCATTATCTGGCACGCCCCCCTTCTTCCTTCGCCTTCCTGAATGTCACGTGCACGTTGTTGATCTTTGTCGGTTCAACGCTCCTTGGAGGAAGCGGACTAGATTGGCTATGTGGGGCGCCGGCTACCACCCAGCTTTGGACGTTGGCTGCACCGGCCAAGCCGGCATGTGCTCCCGCACCAACAAACCGCACCTGATTTTTGAAGGCGTCGATCCTGCTAGTGGGCGTAAGTGGACTGCTCTGGCCGCGTCTTAGCCCAAGAAGTTATGCAGAGCGCTGGCGCGCACCCTCTACCAAGTTGCAGAGGAAGCTATAGCATTAACAAGCATACTCGGGCATTGGGGGTGAAGCCTGCCGATTTGTCCCTGCAGGCTAATTCTTGAGATGTTCTTCGTGACTATAAGTTCGGCCAGTTCAACCTTTCGGCCTCGGGCCTTTTTGAACCCTTCGGCCTCGCTTTAATGCTCGTGCTTTTGCTGCGCGTGCGGCTCCCAGCTTCGCCTGTCGAGCTCGCCGTTCCGCCGGGTAGACCACACAGAAAAGGCATTGTCGTCTGTCAATCATTGGCACACGGGGGGATGGCAGAGCTGTCCTCTTTTCAAAGAACCCTTCGGCCTCGCTTTAATGCTCTTGCTGCTGCTGTGCGTGCGGCTCCCAGCTTCGCCTGTCGAGCTCGCCGTTCCGCCGGGTAGACCACACAGAAAAAGCATTGTCGTCTGTCAATCATTGGCACACGGGGGGATGGCATAATTATATATATATATGTATATGTATATGTATATGTATATATAATTATATATATACATAGATACATACATACATACATACATACATACATACATACATACATACAAACATTCATATAGTATAGCTGCCGCCCTCTCTTCCGCCTGCCCCCGCTCCTTCTTTCTGGCGCAGGGCCGTTCAGAACTGGCCCTTGGGAGAGGAGACGGGATATATATATATATATATATATATATATGTGTGTGTGTGTGTGTGTGTGTGTGTGTGTGTGTGTTCTGGCAGTTTGTAGTCTCGATGTCCGGGTATGCGCGAGCTGGCTTGTGAGTTACATTGAGACCGAATGACTGCTGGGTGCGGACAAGTCGGAGTGCGAACAATGCTGAGTTCGAGCAACTGCGTATGCGTAGGTCTGGGTACGAAGAAGAAGTCCGAGTATGAGTGGGTCTGGATACACGCGAGTCAGGACTTGAAAAAGAGTCTCAGCATAAGTGATTACGAGCATGAGTGCTCGCGAGCTGGCTTCCCTCGTGCCGGCGTCGGCCCGGCATTCCGGCTCTGGCCACGGTCCAGGCCAGGGTCGACCGACAGCTGGGCACTGGCCCAGCTGATCCGAGCGACTCGCACAGCAGGGTTGCGAAATGATAGGGACAGGGGAAGAGGGGGAATGGGAGAGGGAAAGGGAACTGGCGACGGGGCGATGGAATATAGGAGAGGGGCGGGGGGCAGTGAGGGAGAGGGGAAATATGGATGGGAGTTGAGATGGGGAGTGGGAAGAAAAGGGAAATCGATGATGGGGGAGGGGAGGGGGCCCGGCTCCCTTCCTGTGCAGATCACCCTGGACCCCTTTTTGATCCCCGTCATCATTCTTTCCATGATCGTCGCACGGTGCACCGCGTCCTTCCTCGGCTCCAAGGGCCTGTACCACGAGCTGATAGAGGCCCTCGCCGTCGCACGGCCCCTCCTGTTCCGGCCTGCCGTCGGACGAGCAGGATGGGGGCATTGGGAAATGTGGGGAGGTCTGACATCATCTGCTGCACGCATCGGGAAGCCAGCCGTGCGAGCTGATTCTCTACGCCCCCCCCTTTGCTATCCCCCTCTCGTCCGCCCCGGCCGTCGCCCTCCTCCCCCTCCTGCCTTCCTCCTCCTGCTCCTGCCCCTTCCTCGTCCTCCTCCTCCTCCTCCTCCTTTCCTCCTCCTCCTCCTTCTCCTTTCCTCCTCCTCTCCTCCTCCCCTCCTCCTCCTCCTCCTCCTCCTCCTCCTCTTACTCCTCCCCCTCCTCCCCCTCCTCCTCTTCCTCCTCCTCCTCCTCCTCCTCCCTACTCCCTCTCCTCCTCCTCCCCCCCTCCCCCTCCTCCTCTCTCCTCCTCCTCCTCCTCCTCCTCCTCCTCTTCCTCCTCCTCCTCCTCCTTTTCCTCCGTAGCCATCTTGGCTCAAGATGCATAGTTCCTCAGAGGAACAAGTGGATACCGCTAGTCCGCGGCAGGCAAGACCCCTGGTGGTCTGGCAGAGATTGCTCACCGCACCGACGCTCGCGACCACGGGTAAACGGAGGCCTTTCCCGTTCCTGTGTGAGCGAACGTCGTGCTCATGGGGCCTGCTGCTTGCGATCGCTCTCATCCTCATGTTCATCGCATGGACACTGCTGGAGAAGCCGACACAGATGTTGCTTCGAGCGGTGGTGGCAGCTCCTCTGAAGAGCAGCGTCGCTCTGCGTCCCGCAGCGGTGGCAGCCGCGGTGCCCGAAGAGCTGCTCGCGCACGCCCCTCTGCCAATGGCTCCGCAGGTACTGCTGCTGAACCTCCTCGCCGTCTGCGTCGTACTGGCCGCACTCGGGGCGCAGGAGGAGATGCTCCACCGCCAGCAGGCGCCGCCGTTTCGCATCGTGGCCCTGACCCCGCCGCCCTTGGCTCCACCACAGGCATGGCACAGCGCAGTACCGACCTCGATGGGCCACCTCACCCTTGGGACGCTGAGCAGCGTGCTCGCTTGGCGGCGGAGCTCGAGATGGCCCCCACGTTCCCCTCGCAGGAGATGCCCCACAAGCTCCCCACCGCCACCCGTGGTGCCCCGCCCGCGCCCTTCGACCCGTGTGCCGCCGCCGCGGCGGGGGAGAGGCCGCCTCTTGGCTGCGTTGCTACTGATTCTGCTGCTGCTTGGGCGGAGGAGGAGGGCCAAGCTGCATTCACTCGCGCCTTTTACCACGCAGACATTGCTGCTCGCTTCACACAGCTACGAAGTGAATTCGATAACATCGTCTCCACGGCCATCACGAGCTCTGTTCAGCAATCGAATGCTCCGATCCTGGCCACCCTCAATACCTTCCAGCGGCAGCTCTCAACGCAGCACACGGACATCGACCAGCACGTCATGGTCACAGTTCGCCCACAACTCGACGAACTACAGCGCCAGTTCCAGGAGCAGCAGGACGCCCTCAGTCGCCGCGCCGACCACAACGAGCGCGAGATCGAGTCACATGCTTCCAGGCTGGAGGACCTTCAACAGCATATCCCGGCGCTTCGCCAACAGACTGAGATCGACAGGCAGCTGCCGTCTCGCCCTCCTGCACCCCCTGGCTTCGATCGGGAGATCGAACCCACGCAGGTCATTGTTGTCGCAAACAAGCTCGTGGGCATCGCTGGGGTGCGGGACGCGGTCAATAACTTCATGGGTGAGCTCAACTTCGCTGAGGGCGACACATATTCGATCAAAGCGCCCACCCCCTTGCCGTCTAAAAAGTTCGCGATCTCCTTCGCGGGCCCGGTTGGTCTCGCCTCTCGCCGCGTGCAGAAAGCATTGGGCAACCTCAAAGCGGACGGGTCCTGGCGTGAATTCCATTGCCTTGTTCAGGGTGCGGAGGCTGCGCGGCTGCACTTTGGTCCAGACAAATCTCCCGAGCAAGTTCGATGTGAGATGCAGCTCAGGAAGGCGCGCTCCTCGCCCTTGGAGGCTGACCCACAGAGGCGGTGGTTCGTCGACCGCGAGCGGGGGAGCCCTCAAGTCAGACTACACGGACGTTATCCGCCTCACTCCTCGCCCAGGTGATGGGCCCCCAGAGATCTCGTGGAACGACGTGGGGATTCGCGCTCTCGGACTGGACAAGCGCGAGCTCCAAAGTGCCATACGTTGTGTCACTTCTGCCCCAACGGCTACGCAGTGGTGTCTTTAGCAAAATCGCGGAGATGTTTGTGCTTCCAGTGGGGCAGGTCGGCGGAGAGATCACAACCAGCCTCCAATTCTTGACGTGGAATGCACGTGCCCTCCTTCAAGCTGGCGGCGCGAAGGCTCCGTCCAAAGTGAAATATTCGCAGCGATTACAGCCTGGTCGTGCCATCATCGCTCTTCAGGAAGTTCATGCTGACCGTTTCGAGCTGAATGACTTGATCGCCAGGGTCTCTGCCACCGCCGTCGTCCATAGCAGTTTCTGCGAAGGTGCTGATGGTGATCAGGTTCGTGGCGCTGGGGGGGGGGGGGGGGGGGGGGGGGCGCTGTCATTCTACCGCCTCTCTCTTCCTCGGCTGTCAGTAGTTGTGCGATGCCTCTTATTAAGGGCAGGGTGCTGCGTGTGGACGTAGCACTTGGGATGACACAACTGGTGATATTCAGTGTGCACAACCACGGCTTGACCAAGGGTGAGGTACAACACGTATGTGGGCAGATTCGTTGTGCGCTGCGTCATGCCGCTGATAATCTCACGTCGTATTTTGTGGTCGTGCTGGGTGACCTCAATTACAGCTACGACTCTTCTCTCATCTTTCATCGTCCGAGTGGCGCGCAGCCGCAACATTGTCATGATCACAAGGTACATGCACCAATTTGGGCAGCTACGCTGGGTAAGCTTATGGAAATGAGCTCTGAGGCTGCGACCCACTTCTGCAAGTTCACCACCTCCGTCAACATCATCGACCGCTTCTGCTGCTCGCCCACAGGTTGGATGATGTGCCAGCTTATGACAGACATCGCCACGGTCGGCTGCCCCGAGTTCCTCAGCGCCAAGGGAGTCTCCGACCATGCTGCTCTTTCGGTTCGTCTTCGGCTTCGCGGTGCCAGGCAGGCCGCAGGAAGGCCGATCCCGAAGCGCATATTCACTTCAGTGCCGTTCCAGAGACGGCTCCAGTGCATGCTTGCCGACGGTGAAGACGACCTGCTGCAGTGGGGCCCACCAATCGCCACTGTGCGTTACAAATACATGATGAAGGAGGCCGCGAGAGAAGCCCGCCACATCCTCTTTCTCTCCGCGCCTGACCTTCCTGGGACGCTGCAGCTGGTGGCGCGTGGGGTTGCCCGTGCTGTCTGCCGGCAAGATGCGGGTCTCGCCTCCAAGCTCGTCGGGGACCCCCAGCACGCCGCCGACTCGCTGGTCGTCGAGGGCGCCGCGGTCTCGCTACGCCACGCTCCAACCTTCGAGCAGTCGGCCGATGGGGTTCATCGGCTTGTCTGTGAAAAAGAGATTGCTGCTGCCGCCTCTGCTCGGGCCCCCGAGGGGTCCTCGTCGGCATGGAGGCCTAGTTCGGCCACGCTTCTGAGAGCCCTCGAGAGGAAGGCCTCCATCTGGGCCCCCTTCTCTAAGCGGCTTGTCCTGTCAGCGATCATCGCGCCCGAGGGCCCTGTCACGGGCGCCCACGAAAGCGCCGCGGCCCTCGAGGCCTACTGGAAACCCGTCTTCTCCTGGAAAGTGCCCCAGTTTGACATGACCCAGAAATGCCTCGATAGGTTCCTGACCGAGGCCTCCGACATCGTGATTCAGAGCCCGCTGACCCATATGTTCATGAAGGTCCTTAAGCGCGCGACACTCTGCCCCTGGAGTGGATGGCCCCCCTTATGCTGCCTGGCTCGCGTGCGACTCCGGCGCCCAGCACCTGGCCAGGATGTTCGGCTGGCTCTGTCAGGGCCAATCTCTGTTCGCCTCCGCCAGCGTCACCCTACAGGCCTTCCTCCCGAAAGGCTCCGATGCAGATGATCAGCCATCGGGGACTTGCTCTCGTGCCCCCGATAAAATTCGTGTCTTGGGGTTGAGGAATACGGACGTCAAAATCCTGAGCTCGGTCATGAATCGGATCCTGGAGCCCGCGGTGCAGGCTGTTGCCCCTGCCTCCCAGCGGGGCTGTGCTCGTGGGCGCAATTTGTGTCACAACATTTTAGAGCTGGGTGTGCATGCCCGCCTCGCCTCCCAGCATCCTCTCGCCGTGCGTCGATCGCCCATCCTCGTCGGCTTCGATTGCGGGCAGGCCTTCCCGAGCCTGTCCCAGTCCTTCCTGCTCCAGCTCTTGGGGTCCTCGGGCCTCCCTGCGGGGATCTTGGCCTTCACTGCGTGGATGTATGCGGCCGTCGAAGGGGTGGTTAACGACGGGCGTCAATATATTATTATATTTTGGATCCGCTCTGGCATTATCCAAGGGCGTGGGCTTTCGGGATCCCTGTGCGCTTTCGCCCCCTCCCCGATGCTAGCCGATCCAGGACGCAACGTTGAGCGCCGCTTCCTGGGGATATGTCGTGCGCGTGCAGATGACCTTGGCGCTGTCCTCTACGAGATGGCCTCATTGCGGATTATGGTTCTGGTCCTTGGGATGATGGAGAAGCTGGCTGGCCTCAAGGTTATGATCAGCAAGTGCACCCTGGTCCCAGTCGTTGCCAACATGACTGACACATTGAGGACCATGACAACGACGCAGCTCGCCTCGATCGCAGGGGCTTGGGCTGACTTTATTATCGAGGGCTGGCTCCTTTACCTTGGGATGATCTTGGGTCCTGATGCCACTGCGGAGCTCAAGTGGGAAGGCCCCCTCCAGAAAGCCCGATCTCGTTCTAGGATGTTGGGCCGTGGTGTCGCGTCGGTTAGCACCAACTGCATCCTTTATCGCACTCGGGTCGATCCTTGCCTCGCTTACGTTGCCCAGTTCCTCCCCATACCTGGCTGGTTCTTGCCCATTGAACGTGGTGGGCTAGCCCAAATGCTTCGTGCCCCCTTGGGTCTCTTCTCTAACGAGTCGATCCTGGAGCTGCCGGCCTGGGGAGGACCCTTGCTGCCATCCTGGTCGGCTCAAGCTACGGCTGCTCACCTGCGTGCTGCCTTGCGCACTTTCCAGGGCTACGAAACGTACTTGGGTCTTCTCCGACGGGCAGCGACGACTTGGCACCAGGAGGTTTTGGATGGGAAGTTTGACGAGGTTGCTCGCAGTTCCCTGGATCGTTCGCGCGTGTACCCCGCTTTCTGGCGCTCTCCTGCGTTTTCCGAGCATCTCGAACATGCCCAGCTGTGTTATCAAGAACCCCTTCTAGTAGATGCCCGCTCTGCAATCCAGGTTGAGTGCGGGGTCACCTCGCGTCGTCCGCGTCTTCAGCGTGCTGCGGCTCGCTACTTTGGGCAAGCGTTGTGCGCTCAAAGGCCGCTCCAGGCTATGATTATCCGCAACCTCACCCCGTTTTTCGCTGGCTACCGTCCCTGTCTGGGTCAGGCCCATTGGTCAGCCATCCAAGAACTCCTACGGCTGGTCCCTCAGAGCTGGGCCATGTCTGCGCTGCGCACTTGGGGGAAAGGGTGGTTGACTTCATATCGTATTCTCCACCCCCAAGGGAAGCTCAAATGCAGATTCGGATGCCAAAGGCCTGACAGACTACAACATTATGCTCGGTGCCCGATACTATTTAATGCGGCTTCCCGAGGTATACAGCGCCCCATGCCTAGACCTTTTGCCGAACGTTGGTGTCTTACTCTCCCTCATCCTGCTCATCTTGAGAACATGTATGTCATGTAGCAGACGTACAATATTGCGCGCCAGGGCACGCTTGTCTCACCGCCAGGGCAGTTACGTGGATATGTGAGTGCTGCGATGCGCCCCCTGAGACTTGCTCGACCCTCCGACCGTCTGCGACGATGGGAACCCCACCCGCGGTCCAGGCCCTGCGTCACCTGCAACCTCAGGATGCTGTGCGATCCTCCTCGTCAACCACGACATCAGACGCCAGCGTGACCTCTGGTGACTCTGATCACCCGTCTGAGGGCCCTCCCCCTGCTCCCTGCCCGCTGACGGCTCGACGCTCCCCTGATCCCTCTTGCCCCGTCCATGCCCATCCCTTCGCGTCTCGCGTTGACGTTCCTCACAACCACTCCCCACCTGACGGCGCCGCGGCCGCTCAGAGTGCTCTCAGGACCGTGACGGATGCTGAGGGGGGACATGCTCCAGGTTGCGGTTGGAAGCGAGAGATAGATGGTGAGGAACATGCAGCAGTATCTGGCAGCATTTTGGCTCCTGCCCAGGGCGCGCATTCTGGTGTGGCTGCCCTTCCGCTCTCTCACGTTGTGTCTTCGGCATGTGGCAACCCGACAGGGCCTGCGGCCGCGTCTCCGTCAGTGCCGCCGCCTTCTCCAACGTCCGCGTGCACGCCGCAGAGAGCGACTCCTGGATCTTCGATCGCGTCGCCGACATCTGTTTCGTGCGGAGCTTCTGTGGCGCCGCCTTCGCCAATTACTTTGTCGACTCCTATTTCGTGCAGCGCCTCGGTGACGCTCGCTACGTCAGTGACGCGTGCGACTGGCTCTTCCCTTCCCTCGTCGCCACTTCTTGGTGTTAGATCGCAAGTCCCGTTGTCGTGTTCGGGCCCAACGTCGCCTTTTGTCGGGTGCCTCGCCCCCCCTCTGGAGGAGTCTGCTGTTAAAACGCAAGTCCCGTTGTCGTGTTCGGGCGTCGCGTCGCCGCGTATGAGCTTCCTCGGAGAGGACCTCCGAACTGTTGGCGTTAGAGCGCGAGTCCCGTTGTCGTGTTCGGGCTCGACGTCGCCACTTATGCTCTGCCGTGATACTGGACTCTGGTCTGAGGGCGTTAGATCGCAAGCCCCGTTGTCGTGTTCGGGCTCGCCGTTGCCACGTGCCGATAGAAATCCTGCGTCGGCGGTGCCATCTGGTGGGTGGACATCGATCGCGCCGATCTCGCCGCGGACGCCAGCAACGACGGCTGCTCGGCCGACACCAGTGACGCGTCCTGATGCCCTCTCATGGTTCCCTCCCATCCCCTACCTTCCTCGCCCTGTGCGTCGCCGCTGCATCTTTTCCACCGTTCCTCTCGCTGCCCCTGTCCCTCCGCCCCTGTGCCCGTTGCACTGCTGCTCGCTGTCTGCGCCTATCTGTTCCTCGGCCACCTGCTCGTCTGCGCCGTCCTCCCTCCCTCTCGGTCCTTCGCTCCTGAGTGCTGCCGCTGCGGTTGCTGCTCCTCGCCTGCTTCCCCACTCGATGCCGTCGCGATGTGCACCGACTTGCCCGATAGCGACCGTGGGCTGGACTGAAGCGGCGCCGCTTCGGTGCTCGAGCGAGACGGCTGCATGCCTCGCCCACGCGAGCTCGGGCTGGCCTAGCGTGGCGCTGCCTGTGTGCCTGAGCGAGGCAGCCGTGTGCCTCGCCCATCCTCCTGCCACCGCCGAGCCGCCGCTGGTCCTTCCCCCTTCGTGTGCTCGTTCGCTCTCGTTCGTCTCCTCCGCTTTTGACAACGTCGAGAAGAGCCATTGGCCGTCGGGTCGATAGGCTGCTGGATCTCGGAGGATTGCCCCCCCTTGTACGCTCGTCTCCTCCTCCTTTTCCTCCTCCTCCTCCCCCTCCTCCCCTCCGTCCCGCTCCCCCGTGCCAGAAGGCTGGCCACCCCGGCCACGCGCCCGCCCGCGCCTGGGCGTGGACACATGCCTCCGCCCACCCCTCACCGATCTCGTTCCTTTTGGCTCCTCCCCTCCGCCCACTCTCCTCCTCTTCGTTTCTCCTTCTCGTCGAACGAGGAGGAGGAGGAGGAGGCGGAGGAGGAGGAGGAGGAGGAGGAGGAGGCGGAGGAGGAGGAGGAGGAGGAGGAGGAGGAGGGGCAGGGGGCAAAGGAGGCAGCGGAGCAGAAACGACGAGCAGGACGAGGCTCGCCCTCGTCGTTCCTCTTCTGCCACCTCCGCCGAGAGGCCAGATTTTTGGCTATAGCCAATACGTCTCGGGTTTCTAGGGACGGGAGGCTCGAACATCCGAGACGGAGTGGATATGGGAAGTGCCCCCCTCCCAGGTCCCACACAACCAGGCAGTTCGCCCAGCACAGGTCGTGCGCACCAGTGCTGACAAACCGCCGAGGCCATTGACTCATCGTGGGGGTGCTGAGCCATTGAGGGTTTGTCGTGTGAGCAAGTCTTGCCCGCACGTCTTGGCGATGAGCCTCCGCTTTCTCGGGGGCGGCCAAGAGGGGGGTGATGACTAGGGTGGGTGGATGTCATGGCGGGGGCCTTCATATCTCCCCAGATTTCATGGCGCCTCTTCTTATTTCAGTACGTTCCGTGCCCCCCCCGCCTGGTCCGCGCACATGCCGCCGGCCATGACTTGCACCCGCCCCTCTTGGACGCCCCCCTCTTGGCCGCCCCCGACTTTCCCGCCTCGCTTCCGCTGGCGATTCGCCGATCGCCCCGAAGGTCCAGTCGCTTCCGTTCCTGGCCGAGCATGAGCACTGGCGCCAGAGGCGACGCGCGGCCCATGACTGGGCCTGGGCGGCCCTGCTTCGGCCAGATCGGGGGCAATGCTAGGGGTTCGAGGTTCGAGTTCGGGTTCCATGATTCCAGGTTCGAGGTTTTCTGGCGTTTTCATGGGTTCTCGGCGTGTGTCCAGCCTCACGATGACATTTCCAGCATCTGCGCCTCGCCGAGGGCATTCTGAAGGTGCCCGAATCGCTTCGAGCAGCCGCCGGAGAGCCGACTTTTGACCCAGAAGCCAAGGGGCAACGTAAGTGTGGGGGGGGTGGTTCCGGCGGGGACGCATCGACCCCCAATCGCCCATTCATCGCCGATAGGGGCCTGATAGCCGATCCCGCCAAGGAGCGTGCGGTCTCGCAGTTGGGGGCCTATCGCCAGTCTATCGGCCATCTATTGCCGACCCCGAACCAATACTTCCCCCCCCCGAGTTGCTCTCCCCCGATCGGTCCCCCCTCACCAGACATTGAGCCTGACATTCGGCCAAGGGGCGGCCCAGGCCCAGATCTCCCACGACGGGGTTTTCTCACTCCGGGTGTTTTCTCTTGATCTCGGCCTCTGGGGCTCGTTTCTGGGCCCGGGAGCCATCAGACAAGGGGTCGGGGCCTCCCTGAGGCCGCGCATCGGGGAAAGCCACACCGTCGGATGCCTGGGATGCCAGGGGGCTCTCGCAGCGGCCAGCCTCCGCGAGCCCGCATGAGAGGCCTGCGTGGCGGCCGGCGGCCGGCGGTCTGGGCCTTCTTTCCTTCCGCTCTCAGGAGGAAAAGAACCACACAGACACAATTAATCCTCGATTTCCCAGAAAATATGGGAAAATATGGGAAGTGGGCGGGAAGACAGAAACCCAGAAAATATAGGAAAATATGGGGGATGTTTTTATTTGTGTGTATTTATTTGTGTGTCCCAGTTTCCCTTCACACTCTCCGTTCTGCGTCCTCCCTGGCGCCCAGGCGTCAGTAGGGCAACGAGACCTGCGCAACCCCACTGGCCCTCACCAGGCCCATTCTGGGCCCAGGAGCGGTCTGTACGCCCTCCTGGCTTGGCCAGGGAGGCACACACACCGCTCCTGGGCCCAGGCTGGGCCTAACCAGGGGCGGTGGATGTTTATAGATCTCGTCTCGTTGTCCCAGTCAGGCTGCCCGCAAGTCGGACAGCCCTCGCCGCGGTCTTCCGACGGCCACAGACCACAGAGGGGATGCGACCGCAGGCGGCAGGTAGTGTGAGCCGCAGGCGATCGTTGGTTCGACCCTGAACGGGGATGGCGACGACGACGACGACGACAACGACGACGACGACGACGACGACGACGGCGACGACGGCGACGACGGCGGCGACGGCGGCGACGACGGCGACGACGCGACGACGGCGACGACGACGGCGGCGACGACGGCGACGGCGACGACGACGGCGGCGACGACGACGACGGCGACGACGCGACGACGGCGACGACGACGGCGGCGACGACGGCGACGACGACGACGACGACGGCGACGACGACGACGGCGGCGACGGCGACGGCGACGACGACGACGGTGGCGACGACGACGACGACGGCGACGACGGCGACGACGGCGGCCGACCCAAGCTCGCGAAAGAAGGACGGAGGCCCAGACTTCCGACGACTTCGGTCTCTAGGGCCCGCTATCGGGCCTCAGGACCATCAACCTTGCTTCTTGGACCGAGTTTCGGCCCCGGGGAAGGTGTCGAGACCTCTGGGGCCGCGCACTGAAGAAATCACATCGTCGGATGTCTGGAGGGAGGGAGGGCGAGGATGAGGAGGAGGAGAATGAGAAGAGGGGGGAGATCGGGGGAACTAGATCGGCGGGTGTATCGCGGTTGTCTCGGGAAGGACTTTTGTAAGACTGCATGCGCGTGGAAGCTCGCGGTTTCGAAGCCTGGTAGCGTTCCAAGGCCTGGGTTGCGCGCTCGATTATTATTTTGTGGGCGGTGGCCAAGGCTTTTGGTCAATCTCCCATCGCTTTCCGAAAGCTTGAGCTGGCGTTCCAGGGGAGCCCGAGGCCTTCTGCGAGATCCGGGGCCCCGGAGCGGCCAAAAGCCCGAGAGTGTCTCACCTTGGCCCTGCGAGTGCCACCGCTGTCGAAGGCCATTCCTGATCGGAGATGCAGGGCGACGCGGGCCCAGTCGGCTCGAGGGGTGGGCCGCGGGAGAGAGGTGCGGAAGTGGGACAGGGCAGGGGCAGAAAGAGGGAGGGCAAGCCAGGTGCACGCGTGGCATATCTGACATCCTACCCCTCCCACCCATCCCTTCCCACTGCGTTTTTTTTCTCTATCCGCCGGCGCGTGTCATGGCGGACCTAGGGCTCCAGACAGGACTCCGTCGTGTTATGCGCAATCTGAAGAGAAAGGGAGCTGCGCACATCGGAGGAGGAGGTGGCGGATGAACAGGAGGATGAGCAGGAGAAAGAGGAGGAGGAGGAAGGATGAGGACGATGGCGACCGAGCAGCAGCACGAGCTGGAGTGGAAGGAGCGGGAGGAGCAGGAGGACGAGGGAAAGCGGAGAAGGGGAAACGAGGGGGGCGACAACTATGAAAAATGGTTCGGATCCCCGCGCTGGGGCGAGAGCGCCATTCTCAAGGGCGCCCGGCGCCCTCGAGGGCGCGAAGTTATTCGCGCTTCGCGCTTCGCGGTTCGGTTCCGATTCCTCCTCGTCCTCCTCTTCTCCCCTGGGAGGCGGCGCGAGAGGGCGAAGTTATTCGCACTTCGCGCTTCGCGCAGCGCGAAGCGCGAAGTTGGGAGCCCTTAATTCTGAACGACGGGAGGAAAGCGCCGACAGGAGGCCCACGCTACAGCAGGAACACCAACTTGAAATATCGGGAACTATCGAATTGAACCACACATCAGATAAGATATCGTTTGACATCGTGTGTGCATAAAGACAGTATGCGGAGAGGGCCGAACATCTGCAATACAGGGTCAGGGGATAGAGGAGAGTAGCATTCATAATGTGCAGTTGTGGAGAAGGAGGGGTGAGCAAAAGGAGTGCTGAGTGCTTGAGAAGATGGAGGAGGGTCGGAAGAGTGCGACGTCGACGCTTCTGCTGCTCACGACGACGACGTCGATGATGATGATGATGATGCTGATGATGATGATGATGATGATGATGATGATGATGATGATGATGATGATGCTGATGCTGATGCTGATGATGATGATGATGGTGGTGGTGGTGGTGACGCTGCTGCTGCTGATGATGGTGGTGATGATGATGATGCTGATAATGATGGTGGTGGTGGTGATGGTGGTGATGACGATGATGATGGTGGTGGTGGTGATGGTGATGATGGTGGTGATGGTGACGGTGATGGTTATGGTGATGGTGATGGTGGTGATGATGATGGTGATGATGATGGTGGTGATGGTGACGGTGATGATGATGCTGATGCTGATGATGGTGATGATGATGATGATGCTCATGATGGTGATGGTGATGATGATGATGATGATGATGATGATGATGATGATGATGATGATGATGATGATGATAGTGGTGATGGTGGTGATGGTGGTGAGATGCGGAGATGCTGGTGATGGTTATTATGAGGAGGGCGAGGATGATGAGCATGGCAGCAGGAAGGCCTGGCACACAGCGGGCCCCCCAGGCACTGGGTGGCTGGCGACATCCTCAAGGAGCCCGACCGTGGGTGGCGCAGGTGTGGGTGCCCCCCTTGCCTCCCTCGGCTCCGTCCGCTCTCTCTCTCTCTCTCTTTCCTATCCTCCCTCTCCCTCCCTCCCTCTCTCCTCTCTCCTCCCTCCACGCTTCTCCCTCTGCCTTCCCTCTCATTCCTCCTCTCTCCTGCCTCTCTCTCTCTCTTTTTCTCTCGTTCCCCTCATCTCCTCTCTCTCCTCTCCCCCCGCTTCCCGAGGAGGATGTGCGCCGCGCCCGCCACTTCGAGTCCGCCCCCGCGAGGGGGCGGCACGATCACGAGTCCGCGGACGACGCCGAGTTCGGCCTCCGCCCGCAGACGCGCCAGTCGAGCCACGCCAGCGGCGCCGACGGCGGGCTCAGCTTCGACGAGAGCGGGGGCCTCTGCCTCTATATCCCCCTATTCATCCTCCTCTTCCTCTTCTTCCTCCTCTCTTCCTGAATTTCCTCTTCCTCATCGTCTTCCTCTTCTTACTCCTCTTCTTCCTACTCCTCTTCATCCTCTTCCTCATTCTCCTCCTTCTCCTCCTCTCCCCCCTCCTCGTCCTCCTCCTCCTCCTCCACCTCCTCCCCCTCCGAAATGGATGAAACCAGGAGTTAATTAGATATTAACTCTGGAGCGAATCCATGTCAAAGTGGATCCAGCAACCGGCTTCCTCGTGGATTAACTGCGGAGTTAATCCACAGGGAAGCGGATCCACAAGCCAGCCTCCTCCTCCTCCTCCTGGAGTAACTCCGGAGTTCATCAACGGGGGAGGGGTGGATCAGGGCTCTGCCCTGTGCCCCGTGAATTAACTCCGGAGTTAATCCACGGGGGAGGGGTGAATCAGGGCGCCGCCCTGAGCCCCGTGAATTAACTCCGGAGTTACTCCGGAATTAACCCACGGGCGAGGGGTGGAACAGGGCGCCGCCTGGGCCCCCTCCAAGCGGCTTCTCAGAAGCCGTCCAGGAGGCCTCTGAGAAGCGCCGCCCTGGGACCCGTGAATTAACTCCAGAGCTAATCCACGGGAGAAGGGTGGATCAGAGGCCGCCTGGAGGCGCCCCAGGCGGCCTCTGATCCACCCCTCCTCCGTGGATGAACTCCGGAGTTGATCCACACGGCGCCCTGATCCACCCCTCCCCCGTGGATTAACTCCGGAGTGGATTCACGGGGCACAGGCCGTGGATTAACTCCGAAGTTGATTCACGGGGCCCAGAGCGGCACCTCTGAGAGGCCTCCTGGAGGCCCTCTGAGAGGCCACCTGGAGGCGCCCCAGGCGACCTCTGATCCACCCTTCCCCCGCCGATTAACTCCGGAGTTAACTAACGGGGCCCAGCAGGGCGGCGTTCTGATCCATCCCTCCCCCAATGATTAATTCCGGAATTAATTCACGGGGCCCAGGGCGGCGCCCTGATCCAATCCTCTCTCGTGGATTAACCCCGGAGTTAATTCACGGGGCTCAGGGCGGCGCCTTGATCCACGCCTCCCCTGTGGAGTAAGTCTGGAGTTGACTTACGGGGCCCAGGGTGGCGCTCTGATCCACCGCTCCCCCATGGATTAACTCCAGAGCCAACTCACGAGGCCCAGGTCGACGGGATAGGAAAATGTGTGGACACAGAACGGCCCGCACAATTACGCGTGCACCCCTGCCGGCCCGCCTGCGGATTCACTCCGGAGCTAATTCGCGGGACCTTCGCGGACCCCCAAAAACCGAACCCCGAACACAAAAACCCGAAGCCCGAACACCGAACCAGACAACCGAAACCCGAAGCCAGAAGCCCGAACACCGCAGCCCAAAAACAAGACCCTTAAGCTCGACAACGAAAGCCCGACGGCCGAAACGCGAAACAATCCGACACCGAAGCTCGAAACAATCCGAAACCGAAGCTTTCGGCATTTTTGTGTTTCGGGTTTCTGTGTGTTAACTGGTTTTCGTGTGTGTTGTTTTCTGGCTTCGCTGCTTTGTTTCATTGGTGTTGTCTCTTATTGTTTCAGGTTTCCGTTTTCTTGCTTCGAATGGTTTCGAGCTTCGGCTTCGGATTGTTTATTGTGTTTTCGTTATTGGTTTCTTGTTTTCTTGTTTTCTGCTTGTATAGGGTTTTCGCCGTAGGATTGTTTTGGGTTGTTTCGGATTTTTCGTTTTCTGGATCTCGTGTGGTTATCGTTTTGCTGTGGCCCCGAGAGCGTGTTTTTTGGGGGGCGCTGGGGGGGTCCCAGATGGATTTTCACCCTGCAGCGGTTCTGGGGTGAAATTCCATTTAGGGCGTTCCCGAGACTGGGCGAGGGGGCCCAGCCGCGAGGAAAAGGCCCCCCAAGAAGAGATTTCATGTGCCACACTTCGACTGTTGGGGCGCGGGTGCACCCCCACCCTTCTCCCCGAGAGCGTTTTTTGGAAGGGGGGGGTCCCAAATGGGTTTTCACCCTACAACTTAGGCGATGCTTAAGAAAACCTAAGTTTTCGGCCAGAGTCTCGATTATTCTTAACGTGTCAATGATCGCCCCCGTGACTCATCCCTCAACCCCCCACCCCCCCGGCCGGATTTCTTTTCTTCTTTCCGCGGGGGGTCAACCTTCGCGGCGACCCGTTAAACCCGGGACCCCTGGCGGCGCATGGATTTCTTTCCTTCTTCCCCGCGCGCGTTGCCGTTGGAACCCCTGGACCCCTCCGACTACCGTACAACTCGTATTTGAGTACAACTGGTACTATCATGTCCTATCGCGCAGTTGTTCCTATGTTGGGTTTCCAATGTATTAGGTTTCCAATATATTGGGTTTCTAATGTATTAGGTTCCTAATATATTGGGTTCCCAATATTTTGGGTTTCCAATATATCGGGTTTCTAATATATTGGGTTTCGAATATATTGGGTTTCCAATATAGTGGGCTTCCAATATATTGAGTTTCCAATATATTTCGTTTCCAATATACTGGGTTCCCAATATATAAGCCCGAACCCGAACCCAAACCTCACCAGCTGTAATTCAGTTGTTCCCGTACTAATACAAATCCCTAGTGCAACCGCGATTAAGGTGTTGTTGCATTGCACTTACAGTCTCGGCTCTCACGCTTTTCTTCCTCTGGTTGCGCTTGGGGGGGTGGGGCCCCTCGCGCGGGCACCCCCGCGGCTGGGAGTTCATTCCTCTTCCGGAATTTGAGGGGGGGGTAACCCCCGTGCTCGAACCCCATCGCCAGGGTTTTTTTCTTTCCTCCGCGGAAACCGGACCCCCTGGGTTCTTCGGCGCGCCCCATTTTTTTTTTCTTTCCGGTTGGGCCTCCATGGGTCTTAGGTTGGAGTCACCCGGGTGATTGTCAATGTAAATCCTAAGATTTGAATGGAATTTTTGGGTTTTAACTCAAGTTCTGAGACTATGAATTTCTTAACCCATGATTTCTAAAGCATTTCGCAGGGTGTAGAACCGTTCCAGGGTGAAATCCATCTGGGCGCTCCCGACGCTGATCGGGGTGGCCCCCCCCCGATAAGAGATTTCGGCTGTGGCGTTCCAAAAACGGCCTTGCGTTCGAGGATCGAAAGGAGTTGCCCTCTCTTCCGTGGCGGAAGGTCGGCAGAAGGTCGGCGGACGCGAAACGAGGCCGCCTCCTCCCGTGGAAGCTCGGCGGAAGGTGGTGGAGGTAAAAGTGCGCCCCCAAGAGGTGCACACTTTTTTTGGTATAGGGTTCTCGAAATGGGACATGTGGAAAATGACGATTCTGGGGCTCGGGCATACCCCCCCCGGCTCCCCGAGAGTGCTTTTCGTATTGGGAAGGATCCCGGATGGATTTTCGGAAGTACGTTTTTCATCAGAAGTAGTTCTTTTTTCTTCAGGAGTGCTTCTTTCTTCTTCAGAAATTATGTTTTCTTCGTCAGAAATCAGTTTTCCTTCTTCAGAGGTGCGTCGTCCTTATTCAGAAATGTTTTTCTTCAGAAATATGTAGATATTCGTCAGAAGTTTTTCCCAACCCTCCTTGTGTTCGGTACTCGTTTTGAATAGAGCACTGCGGCATCCACTTCCCGCCCTCTCCTCCTCCTTCTCTCCTGTGTTCGCGGTGCCCTGCGGGGCTGCGATCTGCGCAATTGTCGCCACTTTCGTGGGCTCCTGGCTGTCCCCTGCGGGGCTGCGATCTGCGCAACCGTCGCCAAATTCGTGGGTTCCTGGGAGGCCCAGCGGAGGTACGTCATACGCAGATCACTTTGAGGCCTCCGTGTCCCTGCGGGGCTGCGATCTGCGCAACCGTCGCCACTTTCGTGGGTTCCTGGGAGGCCCAGCGGAGGTACGTCATACGCAGATCACCTTGAGGCCTCCCTGTCCCCTGCTGGGCTGCGATCTGCGCAACTGTCGCCACTTTCGTGGGTTCATGGGAGGCCCAGCGGAGGCACGTCATACGCAGATCCTTTGAAGCCTCCCTGTCCCCTGCGGGGCTGCGATCTGCGCAACTGGCGCTACTTTCGTGGGTTCCTGGGAGGCCCAGCGGAGGCACGTCTTACGCAGGCCACTTTGAGGCCTCCCTGCCCCCTTGGCACACTTGGCGCGCACCTGGCGCGCACCTGGCTCGCTGGGCGCACCTGACGCACCTGACGCGCTGGGCGCACCTGGCGCGCACCTGACGCACCTGGCGCACCTGGCGCACTTGTCGCACCGGTCGCACCTGGCGCACCTGGCGCGCACCTGGCGCGCACCTGGCGCGCACCTGGCGCGCACCTGGCGCACCTGGCGCACCTGCCGCACGTGGCGCACCTGGCGCACCTGGCGCGCCTGGCGCGCCTGGTGCAACTAGCGCACCTGGCGCACCTGGCACGCACCTGGCGCACACCTGGCACACCTGGTGCATCTGGCGCACCTGGCGCACCTGGCGCGCTGGGCGCGCCTGGCGCACCTGCCACACCTAGCGCAGACCTGGCGCACCTGGCGCGCCTGTCGCACCTGGCGCATCTGGCGCACCTGGCGCACCTGTCGCACCTGGCGCACATGGCGCACCTGGCTCACTTGGCGCGCCCGGCGCAACTGGCGCACCTGACCTTGGGCAACTGGCGCACCTGGCGCACCTGACGCGCACCTGGCGCACACGTGGCGCACACCTGGCGCAACTGGCGCACCTGTCGCGCGCCCGCGCACCTGGCGCGAACCTGACGCGCTGGGCGCACCTGGCGCACCTGGCGCGCTGGGAGCACCTGGCGCGCACCTGGTGCACCTGGCGCACACCTGGCGCACACTTGGCGCACCTGGCGCGCCTGGCGCCTCTGGCGCGCCTGGCGCGCCTGGCGCGCCTGGCGCACCTGGCGCACCTGGCGCGCCTGGCGCACACCTGGCGCGCACCTGGCGCACCTGGCGCACCTTGCGCATCTGCCGCACCTGGCGCACACGTGGCGCACCTGGCGCACACCTGGCGCACCTGGCT